GGCCTCCAACCTAATAGCGATGGACTCCAACCTAGTAGCGATGGCCTCCAACCTATACTAGCGATGGCCTCCAACCTATACTAGCGATGGCCTCCAACCTATAGTAGCGATGGCCTCCAACCTAGTAGCGATGGCCTCCAACCTAGTAGCGATGGCCTCCAACCTAGTACGTAGCGATGGCCTCCAACCTAATAGCGATGGCCTCCAACCTAATAGTGATGGTCTCCAACCTAGTAGCGATGGCCTCCAACCTAGTAGCGATGGCCTCCAACCTAATAGCGATGGTCTCCAACTAGCATGTGAATGTGTATAGAAATGGTATAACTTGGCCCACCGACCAAAGCCTGAAGGCCTCCACTTTCTCCAATTGGGTCATTGGACCTCATAGAAAAGCTCCAACTCTTCGCAAAACAAGTACGCACGACAACGCGCCACGTCGATTCCCTGCGCACCAGCCATGATTCCCGCGCTCCCTCTCGTGGATATGCACACAGCGCCTGCGCCAGGGGATTGGGCAGCCGCACCCACATACTCCATGTATGGAGTAATCATAATTACATTGACCCCTGAAACCATCCTTAGGGTAAACATATCATATCAGTCCCCTGGAGTGTCTGGGTCACATGTGTCCTTTTCCGTTTGGAACCGTCACAGCAACGGCTTCCAACAAATGCGGAAAAAAGGGAGCTCTGGGTGATCTCTGCCATGCTTTCGTTGGACAGGCTTGGACTGAAAATTACACATCTCAGCATGCCAAGAGCAATCAATCCCAGACACTTCATGGGACTGGAATAGTTACATATGACCATGAACATGACCCCAACTGATCGGCAACTATTCCAGTGTCTGGGAATGATCTGGGGTTCACCCCCCATCTCACTGAAGCATCAAATACCATGGCTTGAAGGACAGAAGGAGGGGCCGCATGTCGTTATCAATTCACTGGGGCCATAGCTGGTCAAGTCGGGTTCGGTCTATTTTAGCTGAGGCCACAGTTGGGGCGCACTGTACACCTCGCCGACCTATGTCGGTCTCCAGTGGCAGTCTCAGATTCGGTGATGTGTTCGACACTTTTATCTGGTGAAGTGAGGGTCCAATCACCTCCTCAAAGGGTACTTAGGATACAGCATGCAAGATCTCGGTCGGATCCATGGATTCCCTAGAGAAACCACTAGAACTCGCCTGGGTTCCGGAGGGAACCAGTCCAAGAATAGACCCGGGCTAGTCTTCAAGTGTTTGTCACTCTTGGCTTCTCAGCGCCGGGAAGGTCTTGGTTTGGAAAGGTTCGAAGTGGTTTCCCATTGCTCAAGACATCTCAAGACTACTCCCTAGAAGTCCAGTTCGACGATATTTTGACCGGCTGAAGTAAAGGATACTCCTAGACTCGGGTCACCCAAAGACCATTCTTTTTATAGTCTTTGACTCTCAAGACTGCTCATTTGCATGGTGTGTATTAAACTAGGGAAGCGGGAAATAGCCCCGTCTCCCGTTTCCCAAATACACCGCCCATTGGAGGGCCCGACGTCCACCGCTGGAACAATCACTGGAGCACCGAATCTGGGCAGCCCCGCCACTTGGAGCAAGACGGGCTTCTTCGAACCTCGCTTTCGTCGATCGTGGTTGGACATACCTCCCTACCAGTGGCCCTCCAAGCCATGAAAAATCCAGGTGTTCACATGTGAAAACCATGCAAAAGCCTTGTGTTTGGGGCAAAGGGAAAAGCCGGTTGTTGATGCTTTGTGGGGCCCCTGGTAAAGCCTCAAAAATCCGCATATACCCTATAGCTAGGGCTCCAATTACCTTCTGAGAAAAGTGTTTCGGTTGGGTTCAGGCATTGTGTTTAACAATTGGTGCAATATGTTACCATGAAAGCACCATCAGGGCCGAAAAGGATCCATTATGATCTATTCAAAGACACACAAACACATGCAAAAGGCTGGCCCGGCTTTGAACACGCTAAACACTGCTCAGATTGATTAGGTCGGAACAAAATTGTCCTAGAAAATCCTTTTCCAAACGGCTCTCTCTTTTAACCACCATCACCTGACCGCTTTGGGCTCACGCCTGCCAGCCATCGCTTTCATCCGGTTCACCTGACCGCTTCCCGGAGAAAAGATCGACTGGACTAGGAAACCCCAACAAAAACACCACAAAAACACACACAGACACATGTCACATGACCCATCATGTCTGTTGTTCTTTTGCTCTGGCGGGTTGGGGAACTCCGTCGCTCCAAGCTTTTGGTCGACGTTTTGAGCTGAAAAACAGCTACGACTGAGTGGCCCTCCGCGGTGCCACTGTCTGCCGGTCCAACCCAATTCATGTCCATTCGAGGGGACACACCAGGACCATCACCACCATCCAACTTTTCCGAGGTGTTCTTTTCCTTATGAGGCAGACCACCTTGCGCTGGATGAATGCAAGTTCCACCCCACCAAACGAATGGGACTCTACGATGTTTAAGGACCGGAGGGGTCTGACCGTCTGGAACGGCACAGACTGGTTGTTTTTGTCCCGTCTTCCGCCAGGCATTTGGAGTTTTTGTTGTACTTTGTTTTGACGCCAGGCATTTGGAGCCAAGACCAGCAGCTGAAGAACGGCAAAAAGACCGACAAAACGCCGAATCCTTGGGGAACGTTTCGGGGTGCGGAGTCCTGCCGAGACTGAGAACGGGGAAGCCGCGGACTGAGCGGGAAGCGAGGTGAAAAACAATAGGCGACTAGTCTGTCCGTGACGGCAAGGAAGGTCAGGACTTGGGGGTTGCAGTTTGCTTGCAAATATTATCAAATATTTGTTTGCGAAATCGACAATTAATGATAATTATAATTGATTATAACAGTCAATAACCATACTACAAACAGGTAAGATAGAAGATAGGAAACGATATGTTCAATTCGAAAGCCGTTGTTCCGGCCAATTCATTTGGGCCTTGGTTTCAAACATATATAGGTGGAGCACATCCGTGGCGTGGTCCAGGACCATCAAAGATGGAGTGTCCACCTTCCCCGTCCGTTCGACCCTCCGAAGAGAAGCCTGGACCATCCTGGACCGTATTTCAAGACCCTATCGATCTATATAGTAGTCTATACCACCATCCCATATATCACCTCCCATGTGCCGCTCCGGACCCAGCCTTCGAAGCACTCTGGCATGCAAAGCCTGGCATGTCGCCGAGGGACGCGAGGGATTTGATGGGATTGTTGAAGTCCCCAAAGCTCGGAAAAGCCGGATGAACAGGGGCATCGCTACTAGTAACAAGTGCCTTACTAGTATATATAGGAACAAGAAGCTACTAGTAACAAGGGCATCGCTACTAGGAGCAAGGAAGCTACTAGGGGCAAGATGGCACATTGGCCATCCCAATGTTCGAGGGCACGAACGCAAAAAATCCGGTTTTTGGCACATTGGCCACTCAGCCAGGTTTTTCAAAACCTCATCAGCATCTGACTTGCAACAAGCGTGTAACGAAGTTATACAAATTGCCAAACATGTTCCACCAATTTCCAACACTCTGCCAAAAAGCGACACCTTATTCACAAACTGGCATAAGTGGGGTGGCTCAAAGACTAAGAGCTTTGCCAAGCAAATGGAAAACAATAATTTTGATTTGTCTTGAAGAGTCGCAGTCGCACAACTAAGTGCATGGTTGTCAGACCAAATTAGTGGCAGTGCAATTGTTGGGATTGCCGCATTGCCTGATTCCCCAGCTGAAAACTACAGACTGCTCTGATCAGGATTTAAATCAACAAGCAGCAAGGTGTTAGAAGACCAACCCGTTGAAATTGCAAAAGAGAAAGGTTCACCCTCGATACTTTAGATCCCACTGACTCTACAGTCTACAGGCCTTCGTTTGTTGTGTCGTTCTTTTCGGCGAAAAACATATCCGACTGCAACAACTTGAATCCGCAACTTGGCACCTTCCACTTCCAGCTCCCTTCCTGGACCCTCCAAAATTCTCTTGGAAATGGATCATGACCCTACAAAAACATACCAGCACCCTCCAACAGGTCTCCGAAATGGAGGCTTTTGTAGACTTAAAAGTCGCAGGTGGTGACCTCTTAGAGGGTCCTGGTATATATATATATATCTAATACATAGATTAATGTATGTTCGAGGTACGACTGGGTCGATTTCGCAGTGAGGGCTCGATGTGCCAATCCTTTTTAGACTCCATCAGGGTGTGTCGGTGCGAGCTCCAAGGTTGAACGGCCCATCATCAGCCCATCCATAATATATATATGTATACTACAGGCCCTTTTTGAGGTCTCTCAACCTCTCTTGGGATCCATGGCAGTCAGAAGTTCTCCCATGTTCATTGATGTTCATGCTTCTATTCCTGATCCAAAATAGATCCCCTTCCGCTTTCCAGTGCTGCGGCGGATTCGGGGCTGCCAGGAAAGCGAACAACTCCCGATCAACCTGGACCCTGCAAACTACCGAAAATGGGACGTGATCAACCTTACTTGCATGTACCCTTTTTCTGAGGTACAAGTACCAGTTTTCCAAGTTCGCCTCGTAAGAAAGCCTCACCCGGTGGAGTCTGCTCCGATCGAAGTGGTCTACAGTCCACCAACGGCTTCGATCTGTGCTGTGGGGTGACAGGCGCTGAGTCTCGAGCAATCGAAACTCCTCGGGCAGAACCTTCTCGTACTTGCCTTCTGCCTGGCAAATCAGGCCGCGAAGCATGATCAGGCCGCGAAGCATGTGTCCCAGTCGAACTCTCTAACGCTTTGGCAAGCTGCTTCTCACTCTGCAGTGATTCACCTTCGGGAGTCTGACCATTTCACTAAGACTAAACACAACTCATAAACTGCAAAGGAAAACGCAGAAAACGATGGTTTTGGAGGCATTTTTGTTGTGGTAAGTGACGAACCAACTGGCACTCACACTGGACCGGGACCTGGGAGTTGGCTTGAAAGAATCACGGAAACAAATCACTGTGACGAGTAAAGGCTGGGTGCCATTTACCTCGAGACTCCCCAGGATACGAAAACCAAAAACCCACACCGCGGGAAGATGCTTGGCATTGCTTGGCTGTAGCTTCTCTGTCTCAGAAGAGCTTGCCAAGCTCTTCATGCCCTTCTGCTGCGAAAGTCTCAGAAGAGCTTGCCATTCGGGCGCCCCGGGGGGCCGATCGACGCCCCCGGCCATTCATCAAGGGACCGAACACCCTTGGAGGGTCCTCCCAACATCTCCCTTCCACCATCTGAGAGTGTCTTAGAATAGGGAGATCCCCCCCGTTCGACTTTCTGGGAAAGTCAAAAACGGACGAAATCCGTCCCAGGGAGGGTATTTCCCCATTCCTGTAGCTAGAATCTGAAATTGAGGAGGTCAACAAGAAAAGAAACGGGGATCCAGCTAACATCTTCCGAGCGCCGCCCTTGCTTTTTTGAGGTTCTCGACCCAACCATGTTGCTTTTGAACGTGGGACTGACTAAGCCAGGTCGTCTACGCCAACGAAAAGAGAACAACCCCAACACGCGTTTTGGTCGTCTACGCCTGGCATCGCCGCGTGAGATTGGTGGACTTCTCTTCTAGCAGCAGCTCAGCCTGAGGTGGGGACACACGGACCCAAATGCAACCTAGGTTGGCACGGACAAGGGCACCCTCCAAAGACCATGGCTAACGGATATAAAATGCTAAAAGCAGCTGGTTTCATCTGTTTTCTACAGGGTCAGGTTCCTTGACCCGGGTTTGTCAAGAGAGGTCAAAAGTACTGCGGAGTCCAGGTCAGTTCTTTGCACGCTACGCTGTTCCTTTTAGTAGAGGATGTCAAAGAGGCTTGACATTGATATGCGACGCTTGCCACGACTCCTCCAACCGGCTAGTTGCCTGGTCAATTCTCGTCATCCAAGAGAAACATGTAAACGGCCAAGCTAAACCACATGCAAACAAGCGCATGCTGCCCTCACTGGTTTGTCAGTGCATGCATGCAAGTCCCAATCAGTGGTACGATTGATGCATCAAATCCTGCCCCACATCTGAAGACCTGCCGGGTCTTCAAGGATCGCTAGGAACACCTTCCCAGGACACTCCTCAAATGGACATCGTATTATACCAGGACCCTCCAAGGGGTGCCCAATGGAAGCCTATAGGTAGTGTGGGGTAGTCCATTGGACACCCCTTGGAGGGTCCTGGTACTAATTTTCGTAGATCTTTTACGACCTCCGAACCCTCGAAGGTAATATGTTGGGTCGTGTTAAATCTATCCCATTACCAGGACCCAGTGGAGGTTCAGTCGTGGGCCTTGTTCCATAGTGATGTTCTATGATGTTCTCGTTTACAGGCTGGTAGAGTGGGACAGACCCGGACATCGGCTATATCAAAACCTGGTGGCCTCACTTCACGGAAAATGAAGAGAATAGAGAACACCGGTGACGGCCATTGGCATGGTGAACCTACCAGGGTTTTTCGTTCAACCCAGCGCCAGAACAGGTCAATCCTGCCGGTCGGCCCAGGGGGGGAACTGGTTCCAAAGACGATAAAACCGACTTCGAAATCCGTTCCTTATGCAAGTACCTGGATCTTCGAACCGGCACAAATCATTGCCTAACAAAGCCTATAAGAACGGCGTCAGACCGGCGACCACCTGGCATCGGGAGGGTCTCCACGACCGACCGCGACCCAAAACGACCGTCCAACTCAGGGGGACCGAGCGCGGCGTTTTTGCTCCTGACGCGACCGGTCGGTCCGCCGGTGGGTCAGGGGACCGGATCTCCCAAGCAAAGAGGAGTCACATGGGTCAGGAGGCATCAGGATTGGCATGCGATCTTGTAAAGTTCTAGTCTCGTTCGCTCGCAAGTGGCTGGTAAACACACGTCTCGAGCCTTCAGGGGTTCGACCCAAAACGTCCAAGAACCGGTTTGGAGGCTGCTCTTCAGGTGCCTGGCACAAGTTTATACTCTTCAAACCCCTGGACATGCATGCTTCCGCATGCTTCGGCTCCTCCTCTGGAAGGCCAGATAAGACCTGCAAATCACATGGAGACAGGACTTCGGGCTAGAACTACCCAAGCGATACGAGTGGCTGTTGATCTTTCTGGCTTGCTGATGGTCTGCAATGTGCTTCCGGTCAATGACCATGCGATAGGCTCAGGTTGCTGGGGCCACAGAAGTGATTACCACTTACTGTACCCAAAGAAGCCATCGATCTGTACTTTATATAATTGCTTATTTTAGGTACTGTAGATTTTGTGATTTTTTGAGGGTCAATGTAACAAGGCAAATATCAGTAAATCATCCAGTCCTATTAGTCCTATGGTCCTATGATGTCCGATGGATTCTTGCGTCTGTGTGTAGCTGACCACCATCTCTTGTGTTGTTGCTTTTCGTTCCCCGTGTCCCTCCTCTCTTCACAACGATATTTCAATAAGCGACTTTAACTCATGGGGCCAGTGGTGGCCCATGGTCCTCAAACCTTGAAATAGTTGAACAAAGGGCATCGCTACTAGGAGCAAGAAGCTACTAGGGGCTCCTGGCATCGCTACTCGGAGCAAGGACGCTACTAGGGGCTCCTGGCCGTACTACTAGGAGCAAGGACGCTACTAGGAACAAAGAGCACCGCTACTATAGTCCCTCACAATCCAATCATGTATACTCGGCCATCCTCATGCAGTATTTATGTGTGGCCGGTGAGAAATGTTGCGATCTTCACAGGCTTTGGATTCAAAGAGGGTAGTCAAAGGGTCCCAGGGTCCCCCAACCTTTGAAGGGGAGGGGTGGAAAAGGAGCCCAGGTGCCCATTGAAAAGGTCTACAACCCGATCAGTGTGGTTGAGGATGACCCCCTTGACCATGTTCCATCCAACCACCCAGTTTCTGGGTGGTGGTGTCCAGTGTTGATTTTTTTGAAGCCCACCATATGAAGATGCTTCTTCATCTCCATCTAGCTATTGCGGCGTTATTCATCAACAATCTACATGTGTCAGTCTTGAAGATGCAACTGATTTAAAGCTTGCTTGTAATTAAGCATAAATAAACAATAAAACATATCATATTCCAGGCTAAATCACTCTCATATGGTCCTTTTGGTACAGGCCAAAATCCCACCCAAAAGATTCACCAAAAGCCATATGGATGAGAGGACGCACCGCCCAGCGCGCGCCTCCCATGTGACCAGCTGTTGCTCGACACGCAGCCATAAGGGGCACAAGTAGTCCTTGCCTGAGCAAGTTCCGGGTGGAGACTCTGGCATCTAGCCCTGAAGTGGATAGAGAATTGGGGCATGTCAAAAATTACCAGAACAATGCATCTCCCTGTAGCTCCTTGGCTCCCTGTTTCATGCCGAATATGGATACCCCCACCCTCAGTCGCTCCCTCCGGAGCACCGGCTAATTAGCCTGTGCTCCAGCCATGGGCCATGAAGTTTACATCAGCTAAAAAAAACTCCCCAAAATCGCCCAACGGCTGAAGTTCCAGAAACTCCATGTCTGCTATAGGGAGAATTACAATCTTCTGCCAACCAACAAGGTCGGCAGGATGGATCTACGACACATGTTGGACATGAAGACCGGAGAAGGATCGGAGAAGGACCTTGTTCCTCACGTCGCCCATTTCACTTGTCGGTCTGGATGAGTCGCGAACGTCACTTCGATTCGGTTCTGGCCTCTCCAGCTTCTCCTGTCGAAGGGGTCAGGTGTAGGCTGTAGGGGCATGTGTGTGTAACCCTTGGAGTCACAGGAAGCCTTATGGCTGCTAAGCAGGGGGCGTTGAGCCTTGTGATTTCCTAGTGACGCCAACGAAGCGAAGCTGTGTGTCTGTGTGCCGTTGAGACCGGGCGCCAGGTGGAGTGAGCTGAAGGGACCATCTTAGCCGCTTGACGTGACGGGCGTCGCTCGTCCACCGAGACGTAGTCTCGGCCATGCCAGGACTTATGGTGAGTGAAAAGCGGAGATATGGCAAATTGTTAAATTAAATCTTTGGGAGTTAATTTACAAGGGCTGCACTGGCGAAGCAACACATTACTCAAAAATGTTGACGCAACTCTCCTTCGGCAATCTTTAGAGTCTAGAGCACCCCAAAACAATAAACTTCACAAAGTATAGTCAACAAATATCCTGATCTGCATCCCCCAACGAATTCAGAACACAAGGACTTTCACTGGTTCACGGTTTCTCCCGTCACCCATCGCCACCCACCTCTCCAGTCCTCGCAGGGTAAAAGCCACTGCGCACCGCAGAGCTCAGCAAGAGCCTTGGTACTGCGGCACTGTGCGGCACGGTGTTCGTACCGTTGGTAGCTGGAGTCGACCTGTTTCCAGTACCTCGGAGTAGTACAAGTAGTACAAGTACCCACCAAACACGACTCCTGGGCGCAAGCGTCAAGTCCGTTCTGCGCTCAGGGGCACCATCTGCAGAGGGGTCTGGGACTGGGTCTGAGGGTCTCAAATCCCCGGAGCAGTTGGCCTTGGAGCGTTTGGGCTGTTAATAGATGTCGGGACTTTCGGCACCAACTGGAGGGTCCGAGTCATCTAAACTGAAACTAGACCACCAGCTTCGCGAGCTGTTTGGTGCTTCGAGAGTTCGGTCCAACTTCGGTACCTACGTTCGAGCGTTTTATGTTTTCTTCGGAGAATGAGTAAAGATTGCTTGGAGAATCGTGGCCAAGCATGGTAAGATGATATGACGTAGTTTAAACTTTACATACATGTTATTATCATATGTCATGATATCGTATAAAATGTTTTTACTACTTTAGATCAAGTTATATATATACTTTGGATCACCGCCAAGCCACACCATAGGGTGTGGCTGCACTTAGACAACAAAAATGAACAAAATATCCCCTGAGCACCACATGTTGACCAATTCCATGTCATTGTCTGGCCGCAGCAGAGTCTTTATTAGCAGATTTTGGGTCTATCACTGGGTCTATCCTATTATATATACCAGCAACAATGGATGAGTTAGTAAAGGCCTGGTTCAAAAAAAGTGATACTTGTTTACTGACTGCTACAGGTTTCCTAGGACAACCCCAAAGCAAATCTATCATATCTCTCAACTTGTTCGTTCGGAAGCCATCCAAAATCAAACATCAGCTTAGCAACAAGGTTCGCTACGACCGGGGTGAACGGAGCATCGCGAACCGAGTCCGCAGCCATTCGTCAACGAACGTCGTTCCGAACACGTTTCGTTCTCTCGGAGCGATCCGAAGGCCCGCCGAACGCCCCCCCCGGCCCGGAGTGAGCGATGAAGACAGGATGGCTGGCATTCGGTAGGATTCGTATCACCCGGTTGACCAAGTTGACAACCACAGCCGCCGGATTTCCGGCCGGAAAGAATAGCAAGCGAAACATGGTGATTCACTTGAACTTGAACCCCAAAAGACAAGGAGAGATGTCTTTGCACCGACCGACACCCCTTGGGTCTACGATCCCTCCAAACCATGAAAGACACTGAAACGATCTATAGTCAGGTACCGTGTCCGGTCAAACAATCCTGCACCAGACTGGACATTTGTAGTACGTAGTCACCGAGACTGGTAAACTCTCCAGAACTGCGGGGGCCGCGGCGTCGCTCAGCTCTCCCTCCAGACACCCGCGGCCTCGCCGCAACCGAGGGTTTGCGGGAGGCCCCACCCTACGCCCAATGGCGTGAAGTAGTTGTGGGAGAGGTGAAAGCCATGCCTCAGAAAAGGCGGACCGCAAGGAATGTCTTTGTGTGATGTCCTTCATTCGTTAAAGAGATGAAAACACGTTTTTCAATGTTCTGCCTGGCAGGGAAACCTGCAGAATAAGTTGTTAGTTCAAGTTTCCCAACAAACGAAATGTCAATCGCCGCTCTGACGGCCCCGGCACGCTTGGTCGCGGAGAGTATTCCAGAAGTAGCGACAAAGCCTGGGTGTTCTTGCACAGGAAATGCAAACATTTTGCACTGGAAACCGCAAAATGTCCAATCTTGTTGTCCACGTGTTTGGTTTTTTGAGACATTTTGAGACATGGTTGTCAGGACATCTATATATATATATAGAATCTACAACCGTCCTGTAGCAAATAGAATATGAACAAATCCAACAAACATCACCAGTCTCTTGTTGTTTCCCGTATTCATCCAAACTCTATCAAACTCTATCCACTCCAGGATGACTATTTTATACTAGTCTATTATATTATACAGTGGTTTCAGAGTAGATGGCACAAACCCCTACATGTCCTTTAGATGGAGGTTCATATAAACCACCTCTTGGGGATTGTGCCATCTACTCTGAACCCACTGTATTGCATTCGACCTGCTGACCTGGGTAGTTCCCCTCAGGCCGTCACTTGGGCAGACACATCCGACAAGCGGTTCTTGTACAACTCCACCTGCAGCAGACTGGTGCAGACCGGTGCAGGAAGTTGAGCCCAAGAATGGTTAGCCTCTTGATTTATACACCCCCCCCATCCCCCCCCCGCTTACCTGGTAAAACCTGTTCCTATGAGGATTGTCTCAATCAAGACATTCCAGACACGATCCAGATCGAATGGCCCCGTTGCGGGCATCCTACCTGGATCCATCAAGGAGATGTCCCTACCTGGACCTGACTTCGTTCCTACCCTGGAAACTGTAAGGATCCTGGCCCACATCCTCAGGTACTTCGACTCTTTTGGCACCCACCCCAACCACCGAATCCTCAGGTGTGGGCCGCCGGGAAGACATGGAACATGGTACGACATGCTACGACGTACGGGGCCCTTGGTACAGTCCACCGAGCTACGAAAGAGGTCGACTCTAGTGTCTACCTGGAGTCGACCTGCTTGTGCCTCGGGAAAGTGGGTACAAGTACAGTATAATAATCCCCCATCGAATTCGACCTCGAACCCGGGCTGTCCTATTCTTTAGAGGAAATTCGCACAGGGATGTATAATACCTGTTTTAATAGGGTCAGTCATGTCCCATCTTCTAGGGAATGAACTGGAGGGAGGGTCGGCCACAGGTCCCGACCACTTCAGACTTGGGACCCTCTTCGGTAGTACTGTTTGTCAGGAACCTAGTGCCAGGTCGCTTTGTTGCTCGGAGCAACTGAGGAAGACTGGTTTTAAAGTTTTGAGTCTTGCTTGAACGAACCTTCATTCATGAGCACTGGGTTCCTGATAGTTAGCTTAGAAGGCCATCGCTACTAGGTTGGAGGCCATCGCTAGTAGGTTGGAAGCAACTAGGATCGAGTGGATCGCTACTAGTAGCAAGAAGCTACTAGTAGCGATGCACGTGTTACTCAATTTCATGTGCCCTAAAAATCGGGCTTGGTTCGCAATACATAGGGTTTGGTTCAGGTCGGGACCTGGGTCCGACCCTGTCGTGGAGGGGTCAAGGATTCTTAGGGCAAGGAAGACACCCCTCAACGAGTAGACTGGTCTATTTCCAGAATCTGGTCTTTGGACTCGAACTGGGAGGTTTGCCTGCTTGAATACACTCATGCCATGCCTGAAACCTTTGGTTCCTTGCTACTGTGACTGGAAGGGTCTCCTCAAGTGACAAGACAAATACTGCATGGGACAACGTGTGGCAAGAGAAGTGCACAAGTGTGGCAGTAGATCTCTAATTTGTCGCAGTGCCCACACTATCTTTGTCGCAGCAGCGTAACTACAGTTGGATACAACCACTTCGTTCGTGCCCTAGAAAAATGGGAGACCCATGGATTCTAAAAAGCAAACAAACACATGTCCTTTTGTATCCATTTCTCTGAGGACGAGGTCGACTCCAGGTCCGCGATTGGTGCATCACGCGACTCCACGCGAGCGCCGCGGTGACTGGGGACGCCCAGCCACTTCCACGTGCATGGTGCCCGACAGAAGCGCCTGTTCGCACCAGAGACTCGGTGCTGAGATGATGTGAGAGTTCTCCTGAATCCGATCCACCAAAACCAGAAAAAGAAAAAGACACATCGGAACCTTCCAAGTAGATCAGTGGTGTTTGAGTTCGTGATCGTGCTTTTTCGGACGTGTCGCCGAAACACATCGAAGAGGACATGAAACCTAAGTCTCAAAAACATTCAAAAATCATTGTGCTTCTCAACGCAATGTGAAATGTGTGAGAAATGTATCGGGTGGTCTTCATCTGTCTTCCTGATCCGACTCGAAATCTTGACCCTCATCAAGCCCTTCGGTGACCTCAATGCTCTGAGGTGCCACAGACTCAGTGACTCACTCGTGAACGGCTGATTGAAACCCGATCTCCACTGTGGAAACACGCTGGAAGAGTTCAGACCAGCACTGTTATCTTTTTTCCATGCAGACATATGAGGGACGGTCAAAACTCATTAGTATTCTTTGACTAAAAGATGGACCTCATCGGTTTTGAATTGGACATATTATGTTGACAAAAAAACATCACATCACAACCCGACCAAGAAACGCGCGAGCGCTCCGCGGAGCGCTTGTTCGTCCGCTGCACCCTGCAGCATCACATCTGCCCGCAACATCAACTTTGGAAGTTGCTGCAAAGCTGCTCCTGGTGGTCCAGCGTCCCAGCCCAGGGGCGCCCGGTGAGGGGGAAAGCAGTGACCGAAATGATTTGTCAGAGCATCATCATCATCGTCATTGTATCATCGTGGCGCGCTTTAGGTCCACTTAGACCATCCTTTCGCAGTACCTTCTTCTGAAAAACAGGGGCCTATATACGGGTGGTTCTCTACTACAAACACAGTCTAGATTGGGATCGAACACTGAGTCCTTCACAAAGGTTCATCTGCTACCTAGAGAGCAGATTACACAATGATGGAACCATCCAAACAATCAAACACGACCAATTCGTCGGTTCGGGGTTCCAGGTATCTACTATCATGTGGAACACCACTGTGGTGACGATCTTTGAAGGGTCCCTTGGGGTCTCCGGCGTCGCGTCTGAACCCAGAAATGGTCATTCTCCTTCCGTTGCAGACGGTCCACGCAGTCGAAACCTGCGTCGTCGAATCGAAATGCTGGGTACATGGTATATATATATGTGGAGTCTCAGTTCATACCTCGGAATCTGTGGTCTGTGGGGAAAAAACTCAGTTCCACCTGCCTTTTTCCTTTGGGTCAAGCACCGCTCAGGACATGGGCAACACAGCACTGCTCCGGAATCGCTCTGGGCGACTTCGCCCCTGCGCCATAGATTGCCTTTGACCAGTTACTAGTTCATGAATAGGGGATACCCGTGGTACAACTACGACAAACCATATTATAGGTACCTTTTGAACCTGAGTGACGAATATTTGGGACCACCAACCATCCAAAACATTGTCATTTCCCATCGAAGCTGGGGTACTGTCTGGGCTCTAGGATGCTCTAGGTATATAATCCGGGACACAGAGATAGAAGAAATGTTTCGAATATTTCAAATAGAAGGTGCAATTTTGGTGGTTTCCAAGCAAGACTTCAAATAGAAGAAAATGCCTTGTGCAAGAGGTGCTTTGTTGATGTTTTTTTGATGGTGTTTGGGCACTTTGAACTCCAATATCTTCTATTTGAACGGTCTTGCAAGAGAGGCAGGATTTCATGGTATTTACAGTGAATTCTTGAAGTTTTGGACCGTTTTGGATGATCTTGTCCGACATTTAGCCGGGACAGACGGTGCAAGTTAAACCCAAAAATCAGAGGACATCTTGCACAACCCAAGAAGTCCAGAATCCCGGTACAAAACGGTAAAAAAACCTCGAGTTTTTTAGCTTTTTTCTGAAGGTCAGATCCACAAGATAGCAGAACAACAAGTGAAGGTCAAATAGAAGATATTGCCAAAGCAACCAAGCACATCAAATAGAAGAAATGTATATCTGATTATTTTGGTGTTATAAAATAATCTGGTAATATCTTCTATTTGAAAGTGAGTGCAAAGCAGCCTTTTCCTACCCCATGAGTCCATCTTCAGAGCTTTGCTCTGAATCATGCCTGCACCAAGCAGACCTTCCCAGTCGGGAACGACAGCAAACTCAGCCAAGTGTTCCAGTTGGAGCTTGAACCACCCTGTAAAGATAATCAATGGCAACCAGCTTGTTGCAGTGAACCACAACAAGTTATATAAATACAACAACTGGGTCTTGTTTGGCTAAATCCGCAACAGCCCAAGCTGCTTCTTACAGCATGGCAAAACACATAAAGGAATCTACTGTAAGTTCAAATGGCATCATCCGGGTACAAACATTAGTCCACACACAGAGCAAGCTCTTGGGACAATACTTCTATGTACTGTGGCAGCGGCACCCCTTCGACCACACAATGTTCTCCGTTCAAAGCCTGCTCATGGTACTGCCACAACCTCAGCAACACCTGCAGCAAAGCTTTCTTCTCCGAACGAAGGCCTGCGTGGAATGATCTGCCCACGTTGGGCTTTCCGGGATAAAGCCCAAGCCACTGGCCAAACCTCCAAATGTGAAAAACACAGTTCAAATAGAAGAAATGTGTGAATTTCTACACCAATTTGAACACAATAGTTCCAACAGAAAATATTATGTGGGCTTTTGGTGAAACAGGGAGGGATGATGACATCATTAGATATATATAACTATGTATTTGTATACAATACTGTATGAGGCAAGGTGCCGATTGTAGCATAATCCGCAGCCCACAATTCCAAGACAGCGGGGGGTATGTGCCAGGTCCTTGTCATCAAGACTCTGCCAAGCTGAGGAGTGAAGATACTGCAACTCCTTGTTGTTGTTGATCGGACCTGAACAGGGAAGCTCTGCAGATATTCCTCAAAGGGGGCAATTCAACTAGAATATATAAATACTTCTGACTGATGATGATTGAGCCAAATAACCATCTTGAAATGCAGACTTCAAATAGAAGAAATTTAACTTTAACTTTCGCAGGAAAGGAAACTCCGCTGCCTGAAGAGTCGGACTTCTCCACGAGCTCCACATGTTCATCGGAGATGAGGTGTCCGTCTTCATCCAGGGACACTTGCACAAGAATTGGATCATCCTCACCAAGTTCCATCAACATGGCATGTGTCTCTGGAGTCGCTGCGCCATCGCCACCCTCCGCTTCCTGCTCCTGCTCAAGCTCTTGCATGAACTCAGCCACAGTCTCTGCCAAAGCGATCTGCAGCTCCCAATGTGCATTGGGACCAGCTGCATACCTTCAGCAGCCAACTCGTCCATTGTTTGCAGCTGCACACCCTGATCATGCTCCTCTTCCTCCGGTTCAGGATCACTTTGGCTGTTTTGGTAGGCCTCTAGCCCTGGCAAACACACCTTCTCCAGGAAGTCCTTGTCCACCTCCACCTGAAGGCTACTTGCATCAAATGTGGTTTCTGCACGAAGAACACGCAAAGGCTCAGGAGGCAAGATTCCAATCTTGATTGTCCGCTCCAGGAAATTGTAGAGAATAAGTGTTGCTCGAGATCCATCCTTCAGGGAAGAGATCCGGGGACCAAGTTGTGCATATGTGTATATATATAATGGACATTTCCCCAACATGATATCTAAGTGTGAAGACATTCAGTTCAAATAGAAGAAACTCCTTGAACAAAAGGGGATGTGAAGCTCTTTAAGGATTTGATAGTATTGGTGCTGGGCAGTTTCATGGAGAGATTATCGTTGCAATAGACCGTTCAGTTCAAATAGAAGAAATACAACTCTAATCTGTGGGGTCGGCGCTCCTTGAGGCTGAATTGTCCGTCTGCACTCTGAATCACGTGGGTTTTGATGTACTGGGCTGTGGCTGGCTGCCCCGATGTATGAAGCAGGACCAGTGTGCGGAGACAATCACGCTCTGCAGCGTGAAATTTCTTTTTGCTGAGCTTGCCCGCCTCATGTCGTCGCCGAGCTTCGAAGAGCTGCAATTGATATTTTGAGTACCCCTTGTCAGCAAACTGAGACATCAGCAGTGGGAGGTTAATCCACTCATCCTGTTGTCCTTCAGCCTGAGGGTGTTTCATCTGCCAAACGTGAATGCTGCGGCCATCACATGCGTCCCGCACGGAGTCTGCAATCGTTGGCCTTCAGCTGTGAGAAAAAACATAAGCCAATATCTTCTATTCGAAATACCCTTTTAAAGTGACCTAAGTTGTGCCAAAGCCAATATCTTCTGCTTGAAATACCCTTTTTAACTGACCTAAGTTGCACCAAAGCCAATATCTTCTATTTGAAACGCTCCACCGCCGGTTTTTGAAGTGTCTAAATAACACTGAAATGCGGACATGATTCGGCACAAGCTCAGGAATTCCAGGGACTAGCTCTCGCGCTGAGGCTTCCTCCTTAAGCTGCATCTCCTCAGCTTCCTTCTGGGACAGATTTGGGAAACGCTTTTTCATGTCATCCACGGTGATCACGCCCCTGCTCACCCATGCCCAGCGGAAGAGCTTATGGTAGATCTTTTGTCCCATCTGTTGCCACGCAAAGATCAACGATTTGACATTATCCACTGCCGTTGCTTGCAAATGCTTTTGGCCGTTCAGGCCGATCTGGATCTGACGGGTCGCCTGTTCCAATCCAGGAGCTTTGTATCCTAGCCAGGGACTTGCTCAAATCCAAAACTGCAAGAAAAATCTACCCGATAAAATAGAAGATATTAATCACAGGTTGAGGTTGGACAGTGTGGTGACCATCAACAGTAAAGAACATATATATATATGTAACCCATTCTGCAAACCCTGGCACCCAGCCCCCAGGCCTAGCAAAGAGTCGGTGTAGTTGTTTGCCAGTTTGCGGAAAATGTGATGCCATGCATCGCATGGTTGGCCAGTTGCTGACCAGCCCCCCGGGGGGCGCAAGGGAAGAATACAATTGTTCTCCTTGCTCCACATCTCCCGACGACTGCCTTCACCGTTTGAAACAGCAAAGTTGCCGGTGAATCCATCGCAGATCAGCAGCGCTGGGGTTTCACGATTGTAGCCCAATGATGCACGGCGAAGTTCCAGGGCCTGTCAAAAAGGGAATATCTTCTATTTGAAATATGGTCTTTCATCAACATCCAACTGGAAAAGTTGATTGCTGGTCTCCTACAGCTTCTGCTTAGTGTGTTTGAATATATATATATATGTATAGTATATATTAGTGTATGTGTATATTGTTATTCTATATATATATATATTATTATTTTTATATCTATACACATGTTTTTTTAAAGATTTCTTCTATTTGAAAAGTATCTCTTTATGTTGTTTTTCTTGCACCGGTTTAGCCAAGATACTGGTGAGATCAGCTCCTGCAGGTGGAGCAGCGTCGTCTCTGCAGTCATGAAATGTGATTCGGTCATGCTTTGGAACACATACACGTGTCCCGCCCATTTCTCATTCACTTCTTCAATGAAAGCCTGCGGGAGCGCTCCGTTGGCCACACATATGCCCAAAGGGCCAATCTCTCCAGAAGCCCAAGTGCTTGTCACAGCTGTGACCCCAATTCTGCCGCCCTGTACAAAGTCAGATCTTGCACAGACTTTTCGAAGCTTGGAAGGCCGGTCTGTTTGTCCCATCCTCTCAACCATGGCATTTGAGACCATTTGAAGGATAGCTTTCAGCCTTTTGCCTTGCAAATCTCCTGGCCAACATTCTCCCCACTCCTCACCCTGGCGCTCAGCTTCTTTTGCACGCCGCTTGTGAATCACTTTTTTGGGAGGCTCATAAGCAGACCGCCACAACTGGTCAAAGTTGAGGACCAAGTCAATTGGAACCTTGTTGGCCAAGATCTGAGCACGATGGGCAAGCCTCATCTCTTTCATCTCCTGGGAGTCATCTGCCAGGAAAGCTCCCTTGGTATTGGAAGCTTGAAGGCTCCACTGCCAGCGCATCAAGAAGAGGCAAACCCACTTGGAATCTACAGGTTTTTGACGCTCAAGAAAGGGGATATGCTCCTCTTCACACTTTTTCCGGTAGGTGTCTTTCCATTTCTTCTGAATGGACTGCGCCGTCTCCACCAACACAGGAATCTTGAGATGAGCAGCGCTCTGCAAGTCTCTGTTGCTTCCAGCCACCATGCGCTCCAGAACTTCATTGAAGGCTGATTCCACTTCTGGAGATACACGGGAAGAATGCCCCTTCCTGTATCTGTCAGCTAAGCCCAGGGCCCGCCTGAGCCAATCCGGGAGCTGCTTCATTTGAGTCCTATCTTTTACGCTCAGCATCGTCCAAGGGATTTTTGCATGTCGCTCTTGCTGGTAGGTCCTTGCTTGTGACCAAGGACTGTTTCAAATAGAAGAAAATGCAGAACAATTAATATATAGAAATATCAACATGAGGATATAGAGAGTGGAACAAGAATGCTTCCAACAAACTACCATGTTTATGAATTTCAAATAGAAGAAATGACTTTCTAAAATGATGACTCCAATTCACAGCAAGGTACCGTGTCCACTTTCCCAGAAGGCCGGACTTCCAAGCGTTCGACTCATATGAGAAGAAAAACTTCTTAAAGCGGGACATTACTTCTCTCTCAATGCTGGTGACAGAGTTCTCTCTGTGCAGCTTCAAGGCAAACTCCACTATCATGGCTTTTGTGTAGAGCGGGATGGTTGCATTTTTGTTCGAGTCTTTCTCTTCCATCTCTGCAAATGGATCACCGTCTTTGAAAGGCGGTTCCTGACGTCGCTTTTTGGTCTTTGGTCTGTCAGGTCTCTCAGGAGTCAAAAGCGGGCCATCTTCCTCCGGATGATTCTCCTCGGCTCCTCGAGTGGGAGAGGTCCGAGAGGCAGCCCTCCTTTTGCGTCCTTTTGCATTTTTTGGCTTGTTGTCTTTTTGATCCATTGCTGGGTCTTTGGCCCTGTTTCTTGTCCCGAATGAACGCCCTCTTCTCTTTTTGGTGCCGGTGCCAAGCTCTGCCAAGATCTCCTCCTGCTCGCTCACCAGCTGGCGGATCTTTGCGCCAATGTCTGGCTGCAATACAGAGAGCCCAGCATCTTCCAAAATCACTGCCAAGCCCGGATTGCCGGCAGTCAAGGAGCCAATTTTCTCCTCAAACGCAACCCGAGCATCCTCTTGAGCCCCACTCAATAGCAAGGGTATGCCGGTTTCCATTAGCCATGTTTGCATCTCCTTCAAATCCCTGACGTTTGCCTGGACTCCTGCGCAGGAACCAAGGTCAGGTACAGCGCTGGGATTCGGAAGGTCATGCCGGTGATGCCCTTCATCACAGTCGTCCCTGGCTTTTGCTCTCCTCATTCTCTCTTCTGCTGCAGTTTCCAGCCGGGTTTCCAGCCTAGTAGCTTGCAAGACTGCAAGTTTCAAATTGGGTGTTTCTCTTCAATTATATATATATCTTCTATTTGATTGTTGTTCTATGCTTGTCCATTAAATGAACTAAGACACATGCAATATATATATAATATCTTCTATTTGATCGTTTCATTTAATAGCGCCAAAGGACTCCAAATTCTCATTGTCATCATGCAGCACCAATCGTGCATGCTTGCCCTGGTAATGCATATAGTACTTGACATCAACAACGGCATCTTCATGGCTAAGTGGATGCTCATGGCCCTCCTGGTGTGTCCAAAAATGGACCTAAAATGAAAGCAATGCCACATTTGGCTTCAAAGCACCATCATTTTGGGAGGTTCAAGCCCATAATTATATATTATATATATATATATGTCCTTAGAAACATAAATAAAGGATACATCATATAGAAGCATTTATTCTTGCATTTCTTCTATTTGAGGGAGCTACAATTGTTTCATGGTTGGATCACAGGTCCTGCGTGGAATGCTGACATTTTGCAACTGCATCCATGCCGGCAGCGTTCAAACGTAGGCATCGGACAGTCTTATCCTTCCCCACCACCAGTCCGAAAGCAAAATCTGCATCCTTTTGCAGTGAATATTGCTGGTGCTGATCCAAAGAAGAGAAGAACGCATCCCAGGAGGGATGGCTGTGTATCCATCCCACAACTACACTTTTGGTCGATTCCAAATGTTGGAGTAATTGGAGGGGCGCTGCGTTGGCACCTTCCGGTTCAAAAACGGTCCAAGTGTTGCTCTTCTGCACTGGAAAGAAAAGTCCGTTAGCGTCTGGGTGCCCCTTTTTTTGTCATTCACAACATGTCCAGTGATCCATGCCATAGTCTCATTTGGATCTTTCGGGAAGGAGTATTCAATGAAGCGCTTGACTAGGTATGCAGGAAACTGCACAGGCCTGCGCTTCTGATCTCGTTCCTCTTGCAAGTCCTTGACTTTGGAGTCTGGCTCAGGACAAAAGAGTGAATCCATGTCCATCACCTCAGTCTTTTTCAAGTCTAGCTTTCTGCCCACCTCCTTCATTCTCTGTAGAGCTTGAGAACTCTTAAGAAGCTCAGCAGTGTCTTTTGGCCGTTCACTTTCAAGGACTTTGTCAAAATGAATGGCAAAGACCTCCTCGCAATCCTCCCCAAACAAATCCACGAACTCCTGGCCAGTTGGAGCTCCAAGAGATTCAGCTTCAAAGCGGGTAGCCTTCCTGATTTCCAGTATCCGCTTTGGAGGAAGGACTTGATCAGCACTGTAGCCTCAGTATTATGGAGCATGGGGCTCTCCAGATATATAGAAGCAATGCATGAAAACATTCTTCTATATAATGTATGCTTTCCTATGTTTCTAAGGAAGTATACAGTAATTATACATAATTATATATATGGGTTTGAACCTCCCAAAGCCCAAAACATGCAGGTGCTTTGAAGCCAAATGTGGCATTGCCTACAAGCAACCCTTGCTGAAAACGATATGGGTTGCTCCCTCCAGCCGCGTCTTCCAGTAACGACCAATTGCTCGGAATTCCCAGGTTTTATTGCCTGCCAGCACCTGTGCCCAATACTCTTTGTGCAAAGGACAGCGGACTGCCTGCATCCAGGGCCCCACCCCAAGCCATAAACACCAATGTAGACATGTACAAATCAAATAGAAGAAAATGCACAATGTATACAGCCTTCTCACCCTCTTTGAGATTAAGGTTGCCCTTCTTTTTCGTTTTTTGTCCTTGCAGTGGAACGAGAAACAAGTCCAAAACAAATAGCAGAATCTCAAACGCTGGGAAATCCAGATCCTACGCAAATAGCAAATATACATTACACACATATACATATATATATATGTGTTATAGGGCTTCTGAAATCATCCCATTGGCAACGAAATGCAAATCAAATAGAAGAAATATGTAAAGACAGCAAACAGAAGA